GGACTGCATGTGGCCAGGCTGCTGGCTCCATTATGTGAGGTTCACATACCCAAACCCCATGCCACCGGGGGAAGCCCAGTGGTGCAGGTCATGGGGCTCAGCTGGGAGGGCAAGGAGAGGGGCAGAGCAAACCCAGCTCCATAGCATGGAGCTTCCTGCTGTTCCCCACGACCTGCAGGTAGTAGTAAGCAGGGCCAGGCCATCAGCTCCATCCCAAGTGGCCCCCCGAAAGACGTGCACAACTCAGGTGAAGAACCTGGGAACTGCATGTGAGCCCTGCATAATGGAGCTAGGTAGACCCTGTGCTCCCACTGGCACAGGATCTGCACTCCAGCTGCCCCACCCTGGGTCCCCACTAGCCCTGGCCCCATGCTCCCAGCCAGCTGCCACTTTGTTCCCACCCAGCACCACTGCCACTCCCCCCTGCCTGCCCACCACCACTGTCCCACTCCCCACTGCCACCACCACCACTTCCCCCCACCCCTGCCTGCTACCACTGCCACCCTTTTCTGCCACTTTCCTACATTCCCACCCACCCCCACTGTCACTACTTCCCCGCCCCCCCTCCACCATTGCTACCACTTCCCCTGTCCACTGTTACTGCGGTGTGAGGGTGAGGGCACCCCACAGGCAAGCGTGAGAGCGTAGCATGCACTGCCCCCATGAAAGCATGGCGAGGCAGCCTGGGTCTGGGCAGGATACAGTGAATTGGTAGGTACCTGCCCATGGGCTGGATGAAATCACCTGGCGGCCCAAATCCAGCCCATAGGCCATTATTTCCTCACTCCTGTTCTAATATATAGCTTAACTGCAAAAAAGTATGCCCTGGTGGTGAATTGTTTTGTCTCCTGAACTTGGTTATGCAGAAAAGTTGCACGCTAAGTTAAATTTTTCAAAGTGAAATACCTGGTTTGTGGTAGTCCAAAACTAGTACCAATGCCAACACGAGGTAGACAGTTGACCACTTTCTTTACTGTTGCTTGGTCTGGGAAGTTGAACATGACAGCGACTGTAAACAAACAGAATAGTTGGAAAATGACATTATTTCCTGTCATTTATACTAAGCTTCCTAGTATTTCATCATGCTGAGTTTGGGTGTAGTATAGAGATTACACATGCTAGTAGCATTAAATATATTTTCCCCCATAAGCCAAGTTTTGTATACTATGAATGATGTCACTTCATTTTTCTAAAAAAATGCATTTTCAGAATTATTTCTTGTTTTAAACAGTAACAGGAGTTTTAGTGAATGTTGCCTTATTAACTTGTATAGTGGGCTTATATTACATAGTGTTATTTTATTTGAAAACAAAAAAAATGTAAGCTGTATTTATACAACTGATTTGTCAGAACTAACTCCAGAAAAGAAAAAGAATGTACAGTTTGTACTAATATGGTCATACATAATTAATGTCTCCTAGAATTTATTCATTTTTATTCTTGTTTGCACATTTTCTTCTCCATGGAGGTTAAGTACCCAAACCAGAAAAGCACTGAAGCATGTGCTTGACTTATAATCAACGGGATTATTTGAATGCTTAAATATGTGATTCAGTACTTTGCTGGATCCATCCCTAAACCCAAGACTAGGACCAGCATTAAACTGTGACAAAAGTTTCTGACAATTTTCACTTCTTTTTTGAGTCTCATCCATATTTCAGAAAAGCCATTTTAATCCACAGAACAGTAACCAGTCTGAGTACAGTCAACATTTTTTTTCCACATCACAACTTTATAAAAATTGGTTTTAGTTAAGAAAATGCACAACTCTTAGGATTTACTTTATTTAGTAGCTCAGCATAAATACACAATATAACATGAACAATGTTTACCAAAAAAAAGAAAATAAAACTGAATAGATATTAAGACATGAAAAAAAATATTTAGGCAAGCCTTCTTTTGATTTACACCAAAATATAAGGTGGATAGAAGACTGGCTGGATTATCAGGCTCAGAGGGTAGTAGTCAATGGCTCAATGTCAGGTTGGCACCTGGTATCGACTGGAGTGCCCAAGGGTTAAGTCCTGGAGCTGGTTTTGTTCAATATTTTTATCAATGACCTGGAAGATGGGATAGAGTGCCCCATCAACAAGTTTTAAGATAACACCAGGCTGGGGGGAGTAGTAGATACACTGGAAGGTACAGTTAGCATTCAGACAGACCTTGATAAATTGGAGGATTTGGCCAAAAGAAATCTCATAAGGTTCAGTAAGGACAAGTGCAAAGTCCTACACTTAGGACAGAAAAATCCCACTGCACAGGCTGAGGACCAACTGGTTAAGCAGCAGCTCTGCAGAAAAGAACCCAGGTTACAGTGAACAATAAGCTGAATATGAGCCAACAGTGTGTCCCTGTTGTGAAGAAGGCTAACTGCATACTGGGCTGCATTAGTAGGAGCATTGCCAGCAGATCAAGGGAAGTGATTATTCCCTTCTTTTCAGCCACTGGTGAAGCCACATCTGGAGTACTGTGTCCAGTTTTGGGCTCCCCACTACAGAAAAGACAGAGAAATTGGAGAGAGTCCGGTAGAGGCTAATGAAAATGGCACATGACTTCTGTGGAGAGGCTGAGGGAATTGGACTTATTTAGTCTGGAGAAGAGAAAACTAAGGGGGGATTTAAGAGCAACCTTCAGCTACCTGAAGGCTGGCTCCAAAGAGGCTGGAGCTAGGCTCTTCTCAGTGGTAGTAGATGACAGAACAAAGAGCAGTGATCTCAAGTTGCAGCAAGGGTAGTTTAGATTAGATATTAGAAAATTAGGGTACTTTAGATTAGATATTAGGAAATATAAGAATTTCTCACTAGGAGAGTAGTAAACATTGAAACAGGTTACCCACAGAGGTTGTGGAATCCCTATCCTTGGCAGGACATTTTTAAGACCTGCCTAGACAAAGCCTTGGCTGGGATGGTCTAGCTGGGGATAATACTGCTTTGAGCAGATGACCTCCTGGTCCCTTCCAACCTTAATTTTCTATGATTCTATGATCTCATAGCTTGATTTAAACTAAAATTAAGCAGAATACAGCAGAACACAGGTTTCTAGAAGTCAGATTAAAACAGTGTGGAACCATACATTCAGAGCCACCGAGTGAAAATAAAAGCAGCTGTGCTTCTAACCAGTTACATGAACCTTGTATGTTATCATTTCTTATAGTAAAACTTATTGTTTTGGATGGGGGTGTATTGGAACATGATTAGCAGAATATACAAAAAATGGAGGGAAAACCTGAGGAAGATGATAACAAAAGACTGACACTAGCAGTCACTCAGTAGACCTGTGCGACGCTTTGGTCACTGACGCGATTCAGTGGAGACCTGGCCCGATTCAGCAGCCGAATCTCCGAATCTGAATTGAATCAGGAGACCCTTTAATCTCTCCGAATCAAATCGGAACCCTCTGAATCAATTCGGAGAGATTCAATGATTCGGATCAGTGATTCGGCCATAAACACAGCTTTAAATGTTTTTTCTACATACCTCAAGGTACCAAGCAGTCCATGAACACTGAGATGGTAGGATGAATGGAGCATCCCACGGGAGCATGGGAGGGTCCCCAGCACACTTGGTGGCAGACCCAGAATTGGACCAGAAGCACTTCCAGTCTGCTTCTGGGCCCACCGCAGAGCACGTGGGGGATCCCCCTCCACCTCCCAGCTCAGCAACTGGTGCCTCTTCAGTCTGGGGGGGCACCCGGGGTCCCCCCGTGGCCAATCGCTGAGCCGGGGAGACAAAGAAGTACTTCCGGTCCACCAGCGAGCACACAGGGAGCCCCCCCACACTCCTGTGGGACGCTCCACCTGCCCCACCATTCCAGCATTCACAAGCCACGCCTGGCACCTCAAGATGTCTAGAAAAACCATCTAAAGTTATGTCTATGGCCGAATCGCTGATTCTCTAAATCAGCATTGAATCTTCAAATTTGGTTTCAGCCAAATTGAATTGGGACAGTGAACTGAATCAACTAATCAAATCACCGTCCCCCAAATTGGGCCGAACCCGAATCAAATATGGCCCACTTCACACACCCCTATCAATCAGCACAGAAGAGAGAACTGTCAGAGTGAAAAAAGCACAATGTTGCCTGATCATCCTGTTGTTACTATATACCTTTCTGTAGCTTTTTGTTTGTTTGTTTTAACAGCTTTAGTCTCTGCCAGGCTTTTCCTTGAGTTTTCATTCCCAGTGAAGCTATCAACTATCCTAATTTTGTCAGGACAGTCCAGATATCCCAGTGGAATCTCTGAAGCAGAAAGGGATCTTGGAGTCCTAGTGGACTCCAAGATGAACATGGCTCATCAGTGTGACAAAGTCATCAGAAAAACTAACTGCACTTTATCGTGCATCAGCAGATGCATGACAAACAGAACCAAGGAGGTGATACTTCCCCTCTATCAGGCACTGGTCAGACTGCAGTTGGAATACTGCATGCGGTTTTGGGTGCCACACTTCAAAAGGGATGTGGATAACCTGGAGAGGGTCCAGAGAAGGACCACTCGTATGGTTAAGGGCTTGCAGGCCAAGCCTTATGAGCAGAGACTAAGGCACCTGGACCTCTTCAGTCTCTGCAAGAGAAAGTTGAGAGGCAACCTTGTGACTGCCTACAAATTCATCATGGGGGCACAGAAGGGAATTGGTGAGGCTCTACTCACCAAGATGCCCCTGGGGGTTACAAGAAATAATGGCCATAAGCTAGCAGACAGCAGATTTAGACTGGACATTAGGAGGAACTTCTTCACAGTTCGAGTGGCCAAGGTCTGGAATGGGCTCCCAAGGGAGGTGATGCTCTCCCCTACCCTGGGAGTCTTCAAGAGAAGGTTGGATGGGCATCTGGCTAGGGTCATCTGAACCCAGCATTCTTTCCTATCTGTGCAGGGGGTCAGACCTGATCATCTATTGAGGTCCCTTCCAACCCTAACATCTATGAATCTATGAATCTATGAAACGGGATTTTTGTCCTGTCTCTGGACAGGACAATTCTAGATTGGCCCTTTCCCCCATGCATTCACATGACACCAGGCAGCACACCTTGCTGCATCCACCATAGGCTACCTCTTAAACCTAGATGTAATACTGTAGCAGGGATTATTAGCTCTGCCTCACAGAAAAACTATTTAGCTCAGGAACAGTGCCTTGCAAATGACACTAAGGAAGTACAACCTGAAAGTGTAAGGCTAGAGATCATTTTCCATCATCCTCTAGTCCTTTCCTATCTACTTAGAATACCTAAGACAGTGTCACTCGCAAAATAGTGATTTTTGAAGTGGAAAATAATGAACAATACAAATTAATTTAGGCTTTCCCAGGTATCCTCCTTCACACAAAATAGGAAAAAACACAACACATAAAAGAACATGCTTTGTTTTCACAGTAAGTAATCTACAGAACTAAATGCCACAAATTATCACTGAGGCTATGAATTTATCCATTTTCATAAACAAGGTATCAGACAATAATGACAACTGTATAATTTGGTACTGAGGTCCCTCTGTGGCTCCTGATGCACATTACACTTAAGACATGATTAACTCATTATTCACATCTTAAGTAATGACCTGGCCAGATGTTCATTCAATTAATGGCATGATAAAGCCAGGAATAAGTGACAAAGTTATTACACAAAGTATGCATAACAACTGTTATTATCCACATATTATGCCTTTACTTGGATGTGTACCAGTGCCCCCAGCCTCTGTAACACTTCTGTGTGCTCTGGAGTCTGGGAGCACTGGTCAGCTGATCAAGGGTCCCAGCTGGGAGAGTACACTGAGCTCCCCCAGTTGGTAGTCTCATCTATGTTCAGAGGTCCCAGACTCTGGGGCACACCATACGCTCCTGCAGCTGGCAGCCCTGTTGACTGACAAGGATCCCAGCCAGAGTGAAGACTGACAGCGCAGGAGAAGCCAGGGACCAGGTTCCCTATGCACCAGCAATATGGTATGATGGAATCTGATGCCACAATCATGGCACAAAGATGTGATTGTGGGATTGCACATCATATCCCATTGTGCCTTCTTTTTAAAGTCTGTCAGCAGCCTATCATTAATACTGTGCAATCAACAACCATTTTCCTACCACAGGAAAAAAGATATATTCTTTGCACAAGCATGACAGGTCAGAGCATAGATATGCTTTAAGCAAAAGAGAAACTGCTACTTCAACATCTAGATAGAGAGTAGAAGAAAAAAATCCTTCCCATGTTTTTTTCATAAGCCACATGCCCCCAAATAATACAGTTGCCTTGTTTTTGGAGAGGCAGAATGAAGAAAGAAAGATTGTTTTCCAGTTATAATTGCATAGTACATGGGAAGAGCCTAAGCTTCAGCATGCTCACCCTCCCCTTCCTGCTTAACCACAGGCTGAAACCCTAGCTGCAGTTGAAGACTAATCTCGACGGGTAAACATATAATTTTGAAGAGAGCTAAAGAACAGTCTCCAGGTCTTCCAAGCAGAAGAGAGACCAGAAACAGCTTGCAGACAGTGAAAACGCCAGAAGAAAGATTAACTTGATTAGTGGAACAGCAAGACTATTAAAAAGAAGAGATGATCCTTAAAACATTTGGGGTGAAGAACAACAAGCCATTTAAGTTAACTGACTCCTTCAGTTGCCTGAATAAAATGCCACTGCTGTTGCTCAGTGCAGCAAGAGTCACAGCAGGGTGCTTCTATTCCAGGAAGACAATCAGCTTCCCCACTTAAGACATGCACCCCAATTTGTGTGTGTGTGGTGGGGGGAGACTGATCTTTGGTGGAGAGAAGAATATATGGTATGTGAATAAATACAGTAACTGAAATCAAGTAAGTTTTGATTATAGGACTTATCTAGAAAGTTTTATATGGAGAAAAAAAACTATCATTAGACTTAAAATCCCAAGTATTTTTGCATTTTACATCTTTTCAAAGAAACCTAAGCCAAGTTCTTCAAACAATTAAAATATAGTCAATATCTATAAAACAAAAACAGCAGCAGATATCAAACAGCATACATGTGCCAAATAACTAGTGCATTCACAAACAGAAACACTTCATGACTCCAATCACAAATTTATATTACCTCTGTTTGCCATGAAGATTTCCAGTGCTGTATTTTGCAAGAGATAGCGTCGGGAAAAGACTGAACGAATCTCTGTAAAAAGCCATTTTCCATGGAGTCCTTCTGCATAAGCTAGAATCTAATGAGAGAGAAAGTGCCAATAATTATTCAGAAGAAGACAGAACTTCACATCTTGAACCAACTACCAACAAAAACAGTAATATGAAACAGTAACATATTTTAATACAAGTAAGCAGAAATTGTAGAGATTCTAAGGAAAAATAAAGTTAGGTTTGCAACTCTAATAACAGAATTAAAAGAAGACAGAAACAAGACTTCAGTATTTTAATACTGAGCTGTAAAGGAAAACATGAACACTATCTTGCAATGAAAATCTGACCACAGGACTGTTGTTGCTTAAATGGGAGCCAAATTCTTTTGAAATTCTTCCTTCAGCTACTGGAGCTGAGCTCTGCCCTGCCCTTGTTTGGGGGGGGGGGGGGGGGGGCCCCCCA